GGTGGCTCCCCTTGGGGCTCCCAAATGATGCCCCTGGCAGCGTTTTGTGACCATGAGGCTCTCAAGAGAGACATGTTGGGGAGGCCAAGCGGCAATTTTAGCTGAGACGTCCCACCAAAATCGGCGCGAACGGGCTCGTGAGATCAGCCAGGGTGGCTCCCCCTTTGGGCTCCCAAATGATGCCCCTGGCAGCGTTTTGTGACCATGAGGCTCTCAAGAGAGACATGTTGGGGAGGCCAAACGGCAATTTTAGCTGAGACGTCCCACCAAAATCGGCGCGAACGGGCTCGTGAGATCAGCCAGGGTGGCTCCCCCTTGGGGCTCCCAAATGATGCCCCTGGCAGCGTTGTGACCATGAGGCTCTCAAGAGATACATGTTGGGGGCGCCAAACGGCAATTCTACCTGAGACGTCCCACCAACATCGGCGCGAACGGGCTCGTGAGATCAGCCAGGGTGGCTCCCCCTTGGGGCTCCCAAATGATGCCCCTGGCAGCGTTTTGTGACCATGAGGCTCTCAAGAGATACGTGTTGGGGAGGCCAAACGGCAATTCTAGCTGAGGCCTCCCACCAAAATCGGCGCGAACGGGCTCGTGAGATCAGCCAGGTGGCTCCCCCTTGGGGCTCCCAAGTGATGCCCCTGGCAGCGTTTTTTGTGACCATGAGGCTCTCAAGAGAGACATGTTGGGGAGGCCAAACGGCAATTTTAGCTGAGGCGTCCCACCAAAATCGGCGCGAACGGGCTCGTGAGATCAGCCAGGGTGGCTCCCCCTTGGAGCTCCCAAATGATGCCCCGTGTGAGTGTGAGTGAATGTGACTGTGAGTGAGTCTGAGTGAGAGTGAGTCTCATCTTATCTTATCGAGTCCTATCTTATCTTACCTCTATTACCTACCCTCTATCTTATATTATCTTGAAATATCTTATCTTGTCTTAGCTTATCTTATATCAACTCATCCTATCGCATCATATCTTGTCTTATCTTATTACTCCACAGGCTGTCTTATCTTATATATTAGCATACCTTGTTATATATCTTCTCTTACCTTATCATATATTGTGATATATTATCTTATCTTGTAGTATCTTATATTGTCTTGTCTTATCTGGTGAGTATCATTGGGAGGAGGGAGGCGCGAGCGGGAGGAAGGAGGAGCAGTGGGAGGCGTCAGAGTAATAACAAGAACCCCAATCCTTAGGATATGGGGAATTACTCGCTGCGTGGAGCTCTCCATATGTGCATATCATGCTTTATGTCATGCCGTGGTGAGCATCTGTTCATGAGCGGTCGACTACAATAGCGCGTCCACGTGGGCGACAGGGCCGACGAAGACGAGCGACCCCTAATGCGAGTGATTGCGTATGAGTCAGAGTGAGCTTTGAGTATGGTTGAATGCGAGCCTCTTCCTCTTCAGCCCCCCTCCTCAGCTGCCAGGCCTTCCCCTTGTCAGCCCGTGGTAGCTTTGGAGCTTCCCATATGTGCATATGCCCCTTAGGGGTGCTGAAACCAGCGCCCCGCCTGAGACATCCTCACAATCTGCTCGCCAAGCGAAGGATGTTGAGCCCAGAAACAAGCACACCGCCTGAGACATCCCAACAAAATGGCCGCGAACGAGCCCGTGCAACCACCCCTGGCGGCTCCCCTTAGGGGTGCTGAAACCAGCGCCCCGCATGAGACATCCTCACAATCTGCTCTCCAAGCGAAGGATGTTGAGCCCAGAAAAAAAAAAGCAAACCGCCTGAGACATCCCCACAAAATGGCCGCGAACGAGCCCGTGCAACCACCCCTGGCGGCTCCCCTTAGGGGTGCTGAAACCAGCGCCCCGCCTGAGACCATCCTCACAATCAGCCTCCAAAAGCGAAAGATGGTGAGGCCCAGAAACAAGCAAATAAACCGCATGAGACAATCCCCCCACAAAAAAGTGGCCGCGAAACGAGCCCTCCTCTACCACCCTCTGCTCCTGGCTCCTCCCCTAGGGGTGGTGCTGAAAAAACACCAGCACCCCGCCTGAAGACATCCTCACAATCCTGCTCTCCCAATCCCTCTCTCTGGCTGAAAAGGATGTTGAGCCCAGAAACAAGCAAACCGCCTGAGACATGCCCACCCCTGCCGGCTCCCCTTAGGGGTGCTGAAACCAGCGCCCCGCATGAGACATCCTCGCAATATGCTCTCCAAGCGAAGGATGTTGAGCCCAGAAACAAGCAAACCGCCTGAGACATCCCCACAAAATGGCCGCGAACGAGCCCGTGCAAGCCACCCCTGGCGGCTCCCCTTAGGGGTGCTGAAACCAGCGCCCCGCTTGAGACATCCTCACAATCTGCTCGCCAAGCGAAGGATGTTGAGCCCAGAAACAGGCAAACCGCCTGAGACATCCCCACAAAATGGCTGCGAACGAGCCCGTGCAACCACCCCTGGCGGCTCCCCTTAGGGGTGCTGAAACCAGCGCCCCGCTTGAGACATCCTCCAAATCTGATGTGTGTTGAGTAAGTCTGAGTATGAGTAG